AAGGACGACCTAGGACCTACACACTCAGCCAGCCAGCCCCCAATCCACCAGGACGACAGTTCACCTCAAATGAATAAGGAGTAGATCATCACCCTCTGAAGAACCCATCTGACTTGATCCACTAGGATAACTCTGGCATCTTCCACCCAGAAGTACAGAGAAGGAGAATCATATTCTCCAATTCCTGAGCTGTTGACATGGATTCCCAGCAAGAAGCCATCAGGCATATTGACCGCCCAATCAAATGGTCGCTTGGCCTCATAATTGTCCGACCTCATGGCTGCCCAACTTCACAATTGCCCGACCTCATGGATGCCCAAATTCACAACCAACCGACCTCGCAGCCGCCCGACCTAATGGCCGCCTAACCACATCCATGGGTCCCACGAGTCATATTTATGTTCAGACTGAAATACCCCGCCATACCTATGCATGTTAGGGGTACATAATGTAATTGTACAATGACCCATTCCTATAAATAGGGATCAATTTCACGAACAAAGGTTACACAAAATTATTATTTATTACTATGCTATTGCTCCCCTTTCACTCTTTCTCACGCCCCTCAGCGCTCAATTCCTTAGACGTGCTCCCAAACATATTTGGATTCAACAATTTGCATTATAACATTCATTTGCATTGCATTCATCTTCTATTAGAACTAGTTCGAATTGCATTGTAACATAGTTGCACCCACAAGATCTACATCACAATTGCATGTAGAACTCTTACCTATGTTTCATCCTTCACTTCCAAAAAGAAATATTATTCCACAACTATTACTTGATGCACAAATCCTTACCCATAAATGTATCATATAGTTATAATTGTCACCATAATTATCATCACAAGTTTTATGTTGTCACAAAGCCTACATTACAATCATTAAACCATGACCCGTACTGAAATCTTGATTGTATTACATAAAAATCATCACCACATCAAGAATTAAATATAACATTTGTCTGTGTCATAATTGTTGCTCACAAGATCTACAGTATAACTTTCATGTGTGAAGTAATCATTGGCATATAATGACATGTCTTGACCTTGTAGCATTAATGACATCATTATTTTTTTCAATTAGGTGTTACTTGAGAATTATGAAATTAGCTTAAATAGTGTTACGTATTTGTACACCTTGGAGCAACTAGGCAACTTCAATTTGTGGCTATTAGCTATGAACAAAGAAAAGGGGTAAAAACCCGTCTGGGCCGGAATTGTTGATGCAATACTATTATATCATTGCTCAAAAAAATTTTAGTGCTTCATGAAAATACAGACACACACACACACACACACACACACACACACACACAC